ATATTTCAGAGAGAGAAAGGGAGAGATAGAAACATCAATGATGAGAAAGTATCATTGATCAGCTGCCTCCTACACACCTCACACGGGATGAAGCCTGCAACACAGACATGTGCCCAGACTGGGAATCTGGGAATCGAACTGCGACCTCCTGGTCACCACTCAACCACTAAACCAGCTGGGCTCAAATTGTTTTTTAATGTAGAAATTTAAATATGGTAAATTACATCCACTAATTAATTTAAGAATTTGTCATCTATTATAGAATGAAAAACTTTCTAAAATAGGTACTTGTACTTTTTACTGGATATTAATTGGTAGAACTTCACTGTCACATAATTGTAATTTTCCTATGAAGTTAATGGTTTCTATAACAATTGCTTTCTTTTTAATATCTATTATGATCTTTTGATATAAAATACAAACTAAAGTGTAATTTTATCATTATGTCATTAAAATTACTTATATGACCTTGTTCTAATACATTTAGGATTCATTTTAATTAATTTTTTCTGTATTACAACTCTCAATCTCCTTCCTCAGTAAATAGGTTAGGATTTTTGTTTGTTTGTTTGTATCTACATTTCTTTTTAATATTTTTACTAGTGGTAGAATAACTTATGGATTTTTATGAATATTTGAATTTGAAAAGGTTACTTCCAAATGTGCTTCCTATGATGTCATTATAAAATAAATTTTATACAAAGTTACTTCAAAAGTAAAACTTTAAGGTAGTTCTTTTCTTAAAGTATGCTAATATTGAAATATATATAATTATTTTTAAAAATCCAAAATCTCCTAAAGACAATTTTTTTAATTTTTTAAATAGATAAAAAGAACTTTTTAAGTAGATAAAATTCATTAAGTAACTTCTACTTTCTCATTAATTTTTATCTTTAAACAGGTGGAATAAATAAAGACCTAAACACTATTTAAATAAAAACTTTAGTAAACAAGATTTTCACCATTTGTATTTTATTTTAAATTCTCAAAAAATATAAATCAAGACTCTCATGAGATACTTACTAGTAAATGTGCTTTACATAACCAGATCTGGGACTTTCTTCTTACTTTGTGCAGTGGGCAGGAATTTTGTGTTTTGCCTATAAATATGTATCCCTGACCTACACTAGTGCTTGGCACCTAATAGATGTGCAATGAATATTTGTTGAATAAATGAATATCTTACATAAAATAGTTAAGATAGAATAATTATCTAAAAGACTGTAACAATCATCTATCACTTTCTAGCACTCCTGTCCACATTGTGCATGCTAAAGTATTAGAACAGCCATTACCTATAAAATATTTTTTCTAGTTAAAACAACAGCCAAACAATGATAATTTCCTGATACCAAGAAGCAAACATTATGAATTTTTAAAAAGAAATTTTAGAAACTAGTATGTTCTAAAAACATTTTTTTGGATATAAGTTGCAATGGAACACAAGTCATAAATATACTTGGAGAATCAGGACTTGACAGTGTTTTTTCAAGTTTAGAAAAGCAATTCAGGAACAACAACACTGTAAAACACAAAAGATTTGTCTGAGCAGCAGCACCAGGGTATTTTCAGTAATTCCAAATTGCCTGTGGCATCTTTTTACTGGTTTTCTGGTATTAGTTTTAGAGTTAAAAGGAACCAATTTGGAGGGGACTGCAGGGAAGATAAATAGGAGGTTTTCTTTGCCCCTACTGTTTTCTCAAACAATGGTCAGAAGTATAAAATAATACATAGTATGGTTTTCCCCCTATATAATTTTCCAGATAAAATGAGACTCCTAGTGCTTCAATTACTTTAATAAAATATATAAGGAAAATTCTATAATATTTAAAGACCATTGAAAAAAGCTTAAGAGTATTTATTCAGTTAAGAATGAGCTGTGGATCTCACATTATTTATGATAATTAGAGAGTTCACTATAACAAAGATACTAAATATAAGACAGAATTTTTTTTATATACTTAAAAGAACCAGGTGAAATCCAGGTAGAATAAAAAAAAAAAATTAAAATGTCTTACCAAAAGGTTTAGTAAATAATTTTAGAGGAAATAAAGTATTCAATCATAATCAGAACATAAATTTTTGCCATATAAATATAATCACTGAGTATGTTCTGGAAATAAAAGGGTGTTTCCAGAAGGAAAGGGAAAATAGACATTTGGCCTATAGACAGAATTAAGGCAAATAATTCCTAAACTTCATGAGAAAAATATTAATACTTTGTGCAGTGGGCAGGAATTTTGCTTCTACTAACTAGATTTTTTTAAACTACAACTAGATTTTGATTTTGATTTTCCATATAAGGGACTATTAACTTATTCATTGAGCCTCTTAATATTTCATGCTTTTTATTTAATGATTTATCTGTATACTTTTAAGAGACAATACAGTCAACTGATTTCTATAAAGGCTTTTGGCTTATTACGGGCTTTTTGAGTTGTTTTTCTGCAAACTAAAAAAAAAAATCTTCAATCCGTAATCATTGCTACATTTAGGAAAACAGGTTTTCCAAAATCTTCTGCAAATAACAAATATAATCCTTAATAAGAGATATCATTTCACAATTAAAAAATTGTAAAGCACATATATAGTGCAAGAATTAAAAGAAAAAATTACACAATCCATAGTGTGGATGAATATTTGTGCTAAGGCTTCTAAAATCTTCACTGTACTTTTACAGCCCTTTAATTTTTCTAATATGACTTACCAATTAGAGTTACCTTGTTATTGGCATAGTGAATGTTTTGTTTTGATTACCTTAAAACTTGTTACAATTTCCCAGTTATAAAAAGTGTTCATATACCCCAACATTAATACTCTCAGAGTCTAAGAGAATTTTACACTAACTCTACATTAAACATATTGACAGTCACATAACTTTTTCTTAGGGGCTTTTAATGTATTTTTAAAATGGAGATGGATGAAGATATGTTAAGCTGGTGGCTTCTATATATCAAGAATAGTTATCCATGCAGATAAAGAAGAAAGGATGATCTTATCTTCAATAATGATGATCATGATCCAAAAATATTTGTTATATTAAGTTTTGCAAAATCATAAAACAACAATCACTTGATTATTTGTAAGTAGGAGAAAAGAAACATAAGAATCTCCAAAAGATTTAGTGAATCTATCCTGCTTTTTTCTGAAAAAACATTTCAAGCATCTTATAAGAAACTTTTTAAGTTGGTAGCAAATAGCACAACATATATATGAGTACTCATAAAGGGGTAGGAAGAATATGAATGCATTGCTGTTCAGAACAGAATCATTACATGGGCTGTGACATCTGGTAAAGTTATTGTCCAGCTAAGTTTACATAGCTCTAAAAGCAATGAGGACTATTGGGAGTAAGGGGAGGAAAAGCCACTGACTGTGGAAAGAAAATGACCACTTCAGTACCAAACACCTTTGAATGGAAGAGCTACAGTGAGGAAAGACAAATATACTCATCACTTATGGCTACCCTGAAATAGAAAAAGGAAGTAGAGAAGAAATGAAGTAAGAAAACTAAATTTCTCTTTAGGGAGGAAAGGATAAAATTAATTTATTATTAAATCTCTAAAAAATAAAAAGAAAACTAGTGTGAAAATTCTATTTTAACCTCTGACTGTAATGGCTAAACACATTTGGGAGCATTTAATGAACAGCAAACCGGGACTCAACTCCTAGAAATAGACTCAATAAATAATTACTTTTACTATAAAAACTAGATTAAGATGCATTAATAGAAAAAAGAAATAAAAATTAATAGAAATAAAAAATAGTCATCATATGAGAATCAACAAGGGCAAAAATTTAAGTACAATGAATTTCTCCAAGAAAAGGAAGACAAATAAGATATTATAGTATTTCAGTTTTTTTAGGGAAAAAGTGGCTAAATTTAAAAAAAGAAAAAGAAAATAATCTTTGAATCAAGCATATGAATCATTAGTAATATTACACTGTAAAATATATAATGACAAATTATCTAGAAAATAGTTTTTCTGTAATAAAAATGTAAAGAATCAAGATCCATGGCCCAAAACATGATTATGGCTATAAGGTTTTTTTTGTTGTTTTATTTATTTTGTTGCAGGGACAGGGAGTATGATTGAGGTTATGTCAGAAAAAAAATGTAAAAATAAAAATGCCAAACCTAAAAGCAGTTCATGAGAAAACAACATGTGCTTCAGTGATGATGGCTACTGTCTAGATGATATAATTTTCTAGTATATTTTGATAATTTAGGGAAATAGCAACAAATTAGGCTTCTAAAGATAAGTTTATTAATAGCTATCCACAAATTGGAGAAAAGAAATAAAATTTATGAAGTTACCAAACTAGTTAAATATGTCTTGTCCTCCTGTTTTTGCCTAAATGTAGTTGAGAATCTATGTTCTAAAGTCACATAAATCCTGAATTAAATGGACTCCATGAGGACAGTACATTCTAAATTACATCATCAAACTTATCACACCAGCTTTGACATAACATTTAGAAACAAAAGTAATCAAATAATTATTGAACAGATATTTATAATTAATCTGTACATATACATACATAAACATATGTGTATTAAATGCAGTGAGAACTCATATATACTTTAAAATATTTTTCTTAATTTTACATGTAACTAAAATAATAAAGAATATACATGTATCCAACAGAAATTTAAATTTGAAAACTGCTGGACATATTTTAGTCAAATTTAAAGTAACAAAATATGCATAAAAAACTAATTTTACATATACACATTTTTAGTAAACAAAAATAAGGGCACCTATTTTTAAAGAATAATATAACAAAGCATTATACAAAAAAGGTAATTGCAATGCTTTCATTTTTATTGTAGTTCAGTGTAATTATTAAATTAAAATCGTTCTTCAGGGATGGCCAGTTTTAAGCAAACTCAAAATATTTTTCCACTGGAAAACTTTGATTGATTATAACTAATCTTTCATAGCTATGTATTTTCTTCAAATTAGCTTCTGCCTGTGTACAGAATTTGGATCACATACCCATGCCTCTGTTTGAATGGGCCGGATGTTGCTTAGTAGCACCTCTTCATAGTTTCCATAATCAGTGAATTTAACAACTGCTGTCATACCTGAAGAATGGAGAGCTTCAACTTCTGCTCGGTAAAACTGAGGAGAAAAAAGGAGTTTTAAATATGGCCATCAACATTGTCTACAAAGGGCAATACTAGATGGAAATGTGAATAACTGAAGTGCTAGAATGCATAATTTATTTGAAAGCTCAATCTTCTTTTAATTAATTAATATTTTGAGATAAACTATTATGGTTTTAGATGTATAACATAGTGATTTGACATATGTATATGTATAAAATGAGCACCACAATAATTTCAATGATCATTGCCAGTTATAGAATTTTCTTTGTGATGAAAACTTTTAAGATTTATTCTCTTAGCAACTTTCACATATGCCATATTTTAAAGAAAATAATTATTAAAATAATAATGTATTAATAAATAAAACTTACCTTTGAATAATCATAAATTGGCTAAAAAAAGATAAGTTATCTCATCCATATGAGTTCTGACATAACAATGAATAGTAATAATATTTCAGGACAGAGGTCGATGGTCAGGAGAGAATATTCTTACGTCAGCGGGTATATTAAGAACTAGTGTTATGTTTTGTCAGCCATTGAAGTTCTTTAACTAATATTAGTAAGGTTTTTTTTATGTATTAATCAGAATATATAAATACTAGAGGCCTGGTGCACAAAATTTGTGCACTCGGGGGGAGGAGGTACCTCAGTCTGGCCTGCACCCTCTGCAGTCCGGAAGCCCTCAGGAGATGTTAGGGAGTGGGCCTAAGCTGGTAGTTGGACATCCTTAGCGCTGCCACAGAGGCGGGAGAGGCTCCCACCACCACCACTGCACTCACCAGCTATAAACCCGGCTTCTGGCTGAGCAGTGTTCCCCCTGTAGGAGCACACTGACTACCAGGGGGGCAGCTCCTGCATTGAGTATCTGCCCCTGGTGGTCAGTGCACACCATAGCTACTGATTGTTCTGTTGTTCGGTCGAATTGCATATTAGCCTTTTATTATATAGGATGGGGCAACTTACAAAAACATAAACATATGACAAAATAAATACAAAGAAAAAGGCTCATTGCTGCTGACATCACAGGCAGCTGAAGGGAAGTAGGAATGTCAGGTAAGGAGTAACTAGGAATAGGTCACTAATTAATTGGTCAACCCATTCAGGACCTAAATTATAGGTCGGAATGTTGCTTAGTAAACATGAGAAATTATTTTCTCTTAAAGAATAATTTCTTTAAACTAGGTTAGTTGGACACTCTACTATAATGCTGTCTATTCTTTTTTTTTAAAATATATTTTATTGATTTTGTACAGAGAGGAAGGGAGAGAGATAGAGAGTTAGAAACATCGATGAGAGTCATTGATCAGTTGCCTCTTGCACACCCCCTACTGGGGATATGCCCGCAACTAAGGTACATGCCCTATACCGGAATCGAACCCAGGTCCCGTCAGTCCCCAAGCCAACGCTCTATCCATTGAGCTAAATGGGTCTCGGCAATGCTGTCTATTCTTAACAGTACTTCTTAGTAGGCTCACCAGAATAAAAAATGCTAAAGGCAACAGAAATTCTTATTTTTCATATCCTTCTAAAATATGACTTATCAGGAAAGAATCTATTTTTCTGAGTAACTACTATACTTCATACTACAAAGGTTATTAAGTTAATCCATGGTGCTTCCTTCCTAAGTCTGGATGCTAAGAAATTTAGAGACATCATGTGGGGATTTCCCAAATCTTGGAGTTCTGATATATATTCACATCTCTCCATCCCTCTTTTATATCTTTAGCCTCATACTTCTGTATTGTGAATTGTTATGAGTATTTTTGGACCTATGCTTCAATTGTAAGCTTCTCAGATAATTAGGTAAGTTCAACAAACAATGAGTCACAATATAGCCTAGGAAAACAAATAAGTTGACAACTTTTTAGAACTTAACACTTTCATAAAGACAACTCATGTAAAAAGTAACTTCTATATAATGTAGAAAGCACTGTAATAAAGGTGTAGTGAATGGCATTTGATAAAGCTAAGGAGTTTGGGAAGAGCTTCCTGGGCAGATGATAATTAATATAGTCTTTCAGGCTGAAGAGGGTTTAGCCAAGTAAATAACTGAGAAGGGTATTTGTTTCAGGGAAGGTTATAGACATAAAACATGAAGATGAGTGCAAAAAACTATAAAGAGTTTAAAATTAATTATGGCATGATGTGAGAAAAAGGGTAAACCAATAGGAAATTAGACAGGACAAGAAGGTAAGAGCCAACTGACTAAGGCTCTAAATGCATATTAGAATATGTATTTATTTTACAGGTAAAAGATTTAAACTACGAAGAATGATATGTTTTAAGCCCAAAAGCACACTGGTGGCAGTTTCAACGACAAGTGTAAAAGGAATAAAATTTAAGGCACCCTAGCTGGTTTTGCTCAGTGGATAGAGCATCTGCCTGTCCCAAGTTTGATTCCAGTCAAGGGCACATGACCAGGTTGCAGGCTCGATCCCCAGTAGGGGGCATGCAGGAGGCAACCAATCAATGATTTTCTCTCATCATTGATGTTTCTATATCTCTCTCCCTCTCCCTTCCTCTCTGAGATCAATAAAAATATATTAACAAAAAAAAGTTTGAGGCGAGAAGACCAGTTTGGAGGTGGTTCGAATATTCCAGTTGAGAGGGCAAAAAGCACTGAACTAACTATGACAGTTTAGAGGAAGAATTGTCCCAGATTTTAAAATTCTTCAAAGCAAATAAAACTTGAGAAGGCAAGATATTGGGAATAATTTTTAAATTATTAATAATACTAATTGATCAATCAGTTCCAAAACAATGGTTTTCTTAAATCTTTACCTTGGTCTTTGGCTAGAAAATTAGAAAATGGCATATTCTTGATATGACATTTAAAAGCTATCTCGCCAGCCTATGTGGCTCAGTGGTTGAGTGTTGACCTATGAACCAGGACATCATGGTTCAATTCCCAATCAGGATATATGCCTGGTTGTAGGCTTGATCCCCAGTAGGGGGTGTGCAGGAGGCAGCCAATCAATGATTCTCTCTCATCATTGATGTTTCTACCTCTCTCACCTTCCTTTCTGAAATCAATAAAAACATACTTTTAAAAAAATAAAAATTATCTCTTAAATTAGGCGGTTTTATGGGATATAACTAATCCCATCTCTTTCAGAGGGTAAATGTTGTTTATCTCATTTGTTTAATTGTATAATCTATATAGAGCCCACAGTCCCTCACTCTAAACTGAAAGGATATATCCAATTAAAATCAAAGTAGTCACTTTAAAAGGACATCCAATAATTCTAAAAATACTCTAAAAGTTCAAAACAATTGGGAATTATTAGGTGCTGTCTTTCAGAAGGTAGTATTTGAAGTCATATGAGTAATAACACAGCCAGAACTATCTGATCTATCCCAAGTACCTGACACTTAGCAGCCATTCAATTATGGTTTGTTGAATACTCAATATTTGCTAAAGAACTTGTCTGCTAAGTCTAATATCTCAATATCTGTAGGTCTTTTATTTTTCTCTGTTGCTTAGTTTCTGGTCTATCATATTCTCTCTCCCTTTCTCTCTCTCGCTCTCTCTCTGGCTCATAATTTTTTATAGGATTCCAGGCACTGCAGGTAAAATATTCAAAAGATTCTTTTGGAGAAAAGAAAAATAGGTTTATTTCCATTATGCTTATTAATTTGTGCTTATTCAGTGTCTGGTAAGTTAATGTTCAAGAAAAAATATTAATTTTTATTAAAATGTTCTATTATGTTGATTGCTCATTTATTTTAGCCTTTTGTATTCAGCATGTCTCTATGAAAATAAATCTATGTTTCTATGAAAATTGAAACTTGTTTTTTTGCGGCCCACACAAACTTAAACATTGTTTATTTGGCCCGTGTTAGCCTTTGACTTTGACATGCTTGCTATAAAGGGCTGGTTTTAGGCTTTATAATGGCTTGTTTGTAGTAGTTTTTTACTTATTATTAAGGCATGATCCCTGTGAGGTTTTATCCTTTCAAACCTTATCTGTCTTGAACTCCAATCACTTACCTCCTCTGCTTGTTGAAGTCACCAACAACCCCACACTAATCCAATACAGAAAAAACATTTTTCCACCTTCATCTTAACAGAAGCACCTGACACAAGGTCTACTCTAAGGTAGACACTAAGTTCTACAAACCAACACTGATTTCTAACTAATTCGCCTTTTCTTGCCCCTGCATAAAGGAGAAACAGGTAAATATTAAATAATCCCTCATTTCCCAAATCAAACAGTTCCTGTATTTTGGAAAGTGAGTGGTCTGAGTTGAAAGAGTAATAGTCTGAACAGTACTTGCTTTCCAAGCCTTCCTAATAGCCAGGAAGTAGCCAAGTAAAATGAGCTTGTCTGTTGATATTCCTGTGAAGGTTTTTGCTTTATCAGAAACACATACATACATATGCGCACGCAAGCGCGCGCGCGCGTGCGTGCACGCGCACACACACACACACACACACACACACACACACACACACAACATAGCTAATGATACCTCATCCCCTCCTTTTGGCCTTGAATAAAAACTTGGCAGTAGAGATTCTGCTTCTAGATTAGCATCATCGCACATGCAAACAACTATACCTGGTTATACCACCCTGTACTCTCTTTGCTGGTATCATCAGGTAACACCTAACACCTGTTTATACCTAATCACTCATTGAACATCACAGAACCTAGTTCCCTACAGCATTTTTTTTTTCCTCTGTGTGTGTGGGTTTTCTTTTAGAGAGAGAGGAAAGGAGAGGGAGAGAGAGAGAGAGACACTGATTGTTTGCTTCCTGTATGCAACCTGACTGGGGATCAAACTCACAACCTGAGTATGTGCCCTGACTAGGAATTAAATTGGTGATGTTTATATGCACCAGACTACGCTCAACTAACTGAGCCACAATGGCCAGGGCTACAGCATGTTCTTAAAGGATCCAGCCATACTTCCTAGCCTGAATTTGAATTCCTTGAAATCTTCAGTTAACTTTACTTCCACCACTTATTTTAATCACACACACACACACACACATACTCCCATGAGCACATCCTTATTTTAACAACTGAAAGTACTCAACTTATGAATTATTTACTACAAATATTTTTTTCTTTGACCTGATCTTCACATCTATGCATGTCCCCATCATTATAACTCCATTACCTCAGTTTTAATTACCTTGCTGATAGCACCAGTCCTCTAACCACTCTACTTTTTTCCTATATAAGTGCTCCATTCAAAATTAACTAATTAACAGAGTCAAAAAATAATTATTAAATTCCTACATTGTGGGAAAAGCAGAGCTACAGGGGGAAAAAAAAAGAAAAAAAAAGAAAAAAAAAAAAAAAAAAAACCTAGACAAAACCCTGCCTTTAAGGAATTCAAAATTATGACAGGGGAGAGCTATCAATCCAGTAACCAAAATAAATAAATAAATGAATTGATTGATTAATTAATTTACAAATTCTAGTAATTTAAACAAAGTGAATAAGGCACTGACTGAGAAAGACAAGAACGTGAGAGAAGAGATCAGGTTAGAGAAGGCTTCCTTTAGAAAGTGATGTTTGAGCCCAGCCCTCAAGGATAAGAAGAGTAGTTGGTAGAAAATGTTGGGCAGCAAACATGTGCAAAAACCCTTTTCTCAAAGGGTCCTTCTGTCCTCCTCATATTCCTGTCTGACTGTGTGGTCTTTCTCTCTCTCAGCCAGGCTCTTTTATCTGATCCACTTTATTCTTTCTTGACCTCATCCTCTATATTTCCTTTCTCCTTTCCCCACAATTTCCCTTTCTTTCTTTTTTTTTGGTCAGCATGTTATAGAACAAAAGAATATTTAATTTATTTGGTTTAATAAGTATATTATTTATTATCAGATAAATAATTAACTATTCTCTTAATTATTTTTAAAAGTTGTCTGTGCAATTTTTCTTTAAGTTAGATGAAATCTTCAGAATTAACTCTGAGCCACTCAAATTATTTTCTTCCTTGTGAATTAGTATAATCTCACTAGAAAGAAAAGCAAACATTAACAGTTCAGTTGATGACAAGTAAAGTCATTTCTCAACTGTACTTAATCATTTTTATAATACTATTCTAATACTCAAGCTAAAATGAAATGTAATATAATCAAATCTATGGGACTTATTCCCCCTAATCATTCATAAAAAACAATAAATATAATAAATATTTTATTTATCCTGTTATAAATTATACTAGAAGCCCGATGCACAAAGATTCATGCTAGAATGGGCCTTCCTTTCCCTGGATGCCAGCACCACCTTTCCACTCCGGCCCAGCCCCAGAGCCGCCTTTTTCCACTTCGGCCCTGCCTTCCCATGCTACCCAGAGGCCGAGAAACCAGGGGTGGGATGGAATGCCTGTGTAGCTGCCACCCCCAGCACTTGGTGCCTGACTATGCAAATTAACCATCTTGGTTGGATTAATTTGCATATCACTCCTGATTGGCTGGTGGGCATAGCAAGTACGGTCAATTTACATGTTTATCTATTATTAGGTAAGATATCTATAAATCTGTTCAAGGAAGTACAGTTTCAATAGAATGTTACTCTTAGTAATATCAGTATATAATACCATTACAGCATGCATACCTTATTGTCTTCCCAATAAAGTGCAAAACATTCATCTCCAGGTTTCCACACTTTTGCATACTCCACAGGAATAGATGGTTCTAGTACTTTTTCTGGTTTAATTGGCCCACATCTTCTTTTGGGACCACTATTGTAAAATAGTTTATCATCATAGGGTGTGGCTGTGCTGGGTCCTGTTGGCTTAATAGGTCCTACTCGCCTTCCCTTCAGTGGCATTTCTGTCTCTCCATTTGGAACACCAATGAAACTATTAGTTGTGACAGAATTCTGGTAATTGGTATTTACAGGAAAATGTTTTTCAATTTTTACACCACTGAAAGCTTCATTATTTATTGTTCGTGGTTTCCTGTCATAAAAATTATCAGGACTTGCTGTTTGGTTTTCTCTTTTCCCACGTTTTTGATTATTATAGTCTATGGATTCTTGAGGAAGTGGATTTTCTTTTGCCTCTGCGTAGGCTGGACTTCTTCCTGATCTGCTTTGCATAGAGTTTTCCCTTTTTTTAAAAGCACCATCATTGTGCTGAGAACCTAAAGAGTATGAGGTGTCTTTAGTCCTATCATATCTAGAATAGGGTCTATCATATCTCATTCTCTCGTCAGCCCATCCTTCAGATCCCGAAGAAGTACTTGGTCTTTCAGTACCTCTATTTCTAGGCAATCCACTGCCTTCTAAAACTGACTTCGAATTTTGGGTGTCTCTTTGAAAACGAGGCGGTTTTTCATTTCTTGGCTGTCTGGTATCATTCCGAGGAAGATATCTTGTTTGATTACTGTCTTTTATTCCATTTTGCTCAGTATTCAACAATCTGTGTTGCCCCTGATGTAGCTGCTGCGGTTGTGATTTAGGCTCTGAAAGTAAATCATATGCACATTAAAATGATGATTCTGAATTAACACTTATTTTTAAATGCCTAAAAATTATATTAATACAAAATGATCAAACTCTATTTTAACATCTTTCACCATCTTCCCACTCATTATCTTCACCCCTCTCTGCTTTCTTAGAGTCCTGTATTTCTAATGTACAGTGTCCTGAATCAGCTACATTAGTGCAGTAAAGCAATAATATGAATAAACCATGAAAACAATGGTGGATAATTTAAAAGCAATTTGTCTTTGTCAGTGAATGTTTGTATTCTTATAGTGTTAGTGATACATGCAATTCTGGTAATTAATTTCCCACGATATTAATGAAATAGAACTGTAAACTGCTAACTCAGAAAATGCTTTAAAACAGCAAAAGTACAACCCTTGTTCAACTTCTTTCTAAATCCCGCTCCAATTTAGATAAGTATGGCTATTATTGTCAGTCAAACTCTAGTCTTCACAAAAATGTCATTTCTCAAATATTTCTGGATTTGGAATTACTAAGTGTTTGGAGTACAAAATAGATACCCCATTATAGAAAAGAGTTAATCATTTTCTTGACCTATCAAAGTAATTAAATCAAGTACTACTTAGAAATACAGAACTTGTCAATCTAATTAAGCACAATAGTGCAAATAATATCCAGCTAGATATCAAAATCAGTACCATGGTAAATATCTACTCATAGATAACGTAATGACTGTTTTTCACACAGTGATTTTTATTTTATTTCCATTTATACCATGTAATTTACCACTACACATTCTTCCTCCATTGTTTCACACATGTCTATAACATTATTACCAAACACACTGATTGGTCTTTGGTATACATGTCTTGCTTCTCTTGTCATACCCCATAATCAATATGTAAGTCAAGATTATTCTTATACTACAGGCCTGGTGCACTAAAATTGTGCACTCGGATGGGGGGAGGTCCCTCAGCCCAGCCTTCATCCTCTCGAATTCTGGGACCCCTGGGGGATGTCCACCTGTAGGCTTAGGCCCACTCCTCCAGGGATTGAGCCTAAGCTGGCAGTCAGGCATCCCTCTGGCAGCTGGGAGCCCTTGGGGAATGTCCAACTAATGGCTTAGCTCTGCTGTAGAGGTGGGAGAGGCTCCTGCTACTGCCTCTGCGCTGGCCAGCCATGAGCCAGCTTCTGGCCGAGCAAAGCTCCTCCTGTGGTAGCACACTGACCACCAGGGGGCAGAGCACATCATAGCTACTGGTCGTGCAGTTCCATTGATTTGTGTATTAGCCCTTTATTGTATAGGATTTCCCCAGGGTCACAGTACTTCTCAACAGGCCTTCTATTGACATTTTGGGTGAGATTGTTTCCTGAATTTCAAGAAAATTAACCTCTTAGACCTCCAAGAACCAAATACCAAAGCACTCTCTCCCAGCATTCCCAGGGTCTCCATACATTCCAAACATCCACTAGAGGAAAAAACAAACAAACAAAAAACAGATAAAATGTTTAAATCAAGAGGAAGAAAGAGAAGATCTTTAAAAGTTCCCGAGTGACAAAAAAAAAATTCACAGACTAAAGATCAAGACTCAAATTGGCAAAAAAACACACAAACCTTTTCAACAGAACCAATGGAAGCTAGAAGCCAATCTAACAAGTTTCTTTGAAAAGAAAGAAAAACTATTTTCTAAGTACAATTCTACATCCAGTCATACCATCCATTAATTGTGACAAAGAATTAAGACTTTTTGAGTAAGCAAAGTAGCAAATACTAACTAAGACCATTTACAGAGATATTTTTTAAAATTTACTTTAGCCAAGATCTGCCTTATAAACATAACACAAATATCTTGTTTTTAACAGCTGTCATCAACATTAAATTTTTCTTTAGAGATAAGAAAAATGGTCATTTTTAGTTCCTGCTGGCATTATTTATTTTCCAGGAGTAAAGATTCAGGGAAGAAAGAATACTAGTGAATATAAACAGTACACAAAAGTATTTTCAGCAGATATTGGCATTTGTTCCAGAGATTATTAGAGAATAAACATAGCAGTTGCCTCTTTCTATTTGCAATGTATTAGGTATCTGCACTTGCATTTTTTTATCAAATAGTCCTAGCAGTGATCTTGAGATACAAATGTTATGGGGTTTTATGTACTAAAGAGAAGTAAAGTACATTGTATGGTGAATTGAAGAAAATTTTCAGCTTTCAAAAGAAGTCTGAGATGAAAATATTTTATTTGTTATCATTAGACTAAACAGATATTTGAGAAAGAAGTATTTTAGAGTGGCTATATTTAGGGATCAATGTGTCTTTTTTTTTTTTTTTTAATATATCTTATTGATTTCTTACAGAGAGGAAGGAGAGGGAGAGGGAAAGTTAGAAACATCAATGAGAGAGAAACATCAACCAGCTGCCTATTGCACAACCCCCACTAAGGATGTGCCCGCAACCAAGGTACATGCCCTTGACTGGAATCGAACCCGGGATCTTTCAGTCCACACAGGATGACACTCTATCCACTGAGCCAAACCAGCTTCAGCTAGGGATCAATGTGTCTTGATCCCTAAACACAGTTAGGACCACTGATATCTCTGATGGTAAGAAAGTACAAATATATTAGCTCATCAGAGGAGTATCTTCCTATCCTGAACTAGAGAAGGGGTTCTGGATAACCATGTATATAGAATGAAGGCCTCAACTAGGCTTGGTTGGGATAGGAGAATTTGTTTTCCGTTTTTCTAGAAGAAAAAAAAAGTAAAGCTTTCTTAATCTATTTAATTGACAATATATATATTAGATTACAGAATAAAACAAGTGATGTTACTAATAATAAGCATACTTCAATTCTAATAATGTGCTGAGATAATACAGTGAGAGTAGAATCTACAAAGAAAATTACTTTTTAAAATAATCCACCGAGACCGGTTTGGCTCAGTGGATAGAGCGTCGGCCTGCGGACCGAAAGGTCCCGGGTTCGATTCCGGTCAAGGGCATGTACTTTGGTTGCGGGCACATCCCCAGTGGGAGGTGTGCAAGAGGCAGCTGGTCAATGTTTCTCTCTCATCGACGTTTCTAACTCTCTATCCCTCTCAATTCCTCTCTGTGTAAAATCAATAAAAATATATTAAATAAATAAATAAATAAAATAATCCTCACTTGAGGATATTTCTGTCTCCTCCCCCAACTGCTTTTCAGAGATAGTAAATGAGAGAGGGTGGGGAAGAGAGAAAGAAAGAGAAATAACAATGTGAAAGAGACACATTAACTGGTTGCCTCCTGCTTGTGCCCAGATTGGGGGATGGAGAGAGGGAACCTGAAACCCAGGTACCTGCCCCAGACCAGGAATGGAACCTGAGACCCTTAGTGCGCAGGTTGACATTCCAATGAGCCACACTGACTAAGGCAAGAAAATTACTTTTTAAAATAAAAAATTAAAAAGAAATAAATTAAATACAATGATGAGGAAGACAAGGTGTTAAAAGAACATAGTTTTCACATATGCCCAGTTCATTTAAAAATAAAATAACAATAAGCTAAGAAAAGAAAGTCCTTACATGCTTCATGGCTCTCAGATTTCCTTTTGTCTTAGGTAGCTGAGTAATGAAGTCAGATATAAAGTAAACATTTTGAAAATGAGCTAATCTATTTAAAAAATAACAGAATATGCTCAATTACTAAACTGTGGAAAAGATAATTTTAAGTAAATTAAGAAACAGACCCCAAATCAAATAGAAAGCTCCTCAATTCTCCAGCCAAAATCTAATTGCTCTCTGCCACCCTTCCTGAGGAGGTATAATGATTCCAAAACTAAAAATACTAATCAGTACCACAGGCCAGGTACACAGTCACTCTAATAAAAATATACCCAGATATTTTTCAGTATAAACAACAGAATAAAATGAATCAACTTTTTTTTTTTAATGACCTGAAGGGGGAAAATAAAACAAAAGTATAACCAGAAACTGGTAACATTTATTAGTAAATAGTAGAAGAAAAAGGAAGGTTAGCAAAAATGATAGAAATATTTCATCACAGAATAACTAAACCTGTGAAAACATCTAAAAGATCAGTGATGAAAGCTCACATGAATTAATTTTATAGTAAAAAAAAAGGTACATTTTGTTTCTTCATTTCATTTTGAGAAATGTATCTAAAAAAGTGACTTAATATTTATTAAGATTTTATTATTTCCTGACTCCACTATAAAGGTCTTTTGCCTACATTATTTCATGTAATTCTCATACCCACCCTGAAGGGCCATATTATTATCCTTATTCTACTAGTGAAAAAACAAAGCAAAGCTAGCAGCTAGGAAATGTTGAAGCCAGAATTTAAACCCAAATCTAACTGAAGCTAAAGCCCATACTTTTTCCACCATGCCAAGCTGCCTGCCCAGAGAAACAAAACAGTGTAACCAACAGCATGCTAGATATAGCTTTATCAGCTACATCTGTTCATTTCTGGGAGATGCAGAAATCACAAAAGCTCTTTAACAATCCCCAATGGACTGAAAAAATAAAGTTGTATACTAGGATTGCCAGAATACTGACCTAAAGTTAATAATTTTTCTATTAAAGCAAAAAACCCGAAAACCCCTATTAACAATTGTACTGCTACTTAGAAGCTCACCAACTGGCACTTACAGGTAGCATAATGTGCAGGGTGCAGCCGTTAGAGAAGGACTGAATAGCTACATCACAGCTCTGCCAGTTAGTAGTTCTGTAACCCCAAGCAAGTTATTTAACTTTTCTGAGCCTTACCTTTAAGATAGGGATAACAGTAGCACCCACCTCAAAGGATTAACTAAGTATATGGAATTCTATCTGGCTTTAATAAGCACATAATAAATTTAGCTGTCATTGTTATTATGATCAGTATTATTATAATTATGCAAGTAAACATAATGAATTATATCAAGAAAAAAACAATTCTCAGATGATAAGGTGCTTCTCTATTTACACATCTTCATTACCAACAACCTCACCTTTAGTTTCCTTGCTTTAGTTTTT